ACGTCAATTTCGCTGCACGCGCATTATCTCTGAATATGGCCTCTTTACGAAGCCGAAAGCTCAGACAAATAAAAGCGCTGTCTCAGTAATCGCACCTTCTTTTTTCCTGCAAAAAGCAACCGGGGCCCGCATATTCGCTTCCAATCGTGACAACCGAAGCTGTAATATAGATCCCAATACATAAAACAGTGTTTAGTAAATTATATTGGCTACTGTATAATGTAAGTATTCTGTTTTTCCAGCAGAACTTCCAGGCGGAGGAGTGAACAAGTACGATGTTATTGTACGCTGCTGTGAGTTTCATAAACACTCCGAACGATGTCAACGAAGTACAGTAAGAGCTCCCTTGCTCATCGATAATGATCAGGTCATAGTGTTGGCATGTCGGAAAAACTGTTCTCATATAGTGCTTGACTTGGAATAACTGTCCTCATCCCAATACGGCAAGCAGGCATCCAGCAAACAATAGCAATAGGACTTATTAATTGCGCATACAAGCGAAAATGCTAGATCCAAAAGGCATTTGAGAAGGGGGATACGCGGCAAGTAACGAGTCGGCAGCAGCAAGCAAGTACTTGAAACAAGCGCGACCCTTATGGTGAATGCGGGAGCAACCAATTTTGATAGGTATGCAGCGGCCAAGCGAATTAATCTCATAAATACTAAAACTCTTATGCAAACATTAGCTCTATCTGGTACTGTATCTGCAAGTGAAGAATATATTTTTTTTTCCAGGTGACCACGCCTCCTTCCAACAACATACTAAGTCTCCCACAGCCACCCTAAGCAAGGTGTATGACGGGCGTCTCAATTTTAGAAGCACCAGCATATACATTACAATGTTGCAGATACGGATTAAAGGTCAACATTTTAAGGAAAAATACCTTAATGTCGGACGAGCTCTCGATCCTAATATATCCTTCTTTAAGCAGTGTCTGCTCAACAAAACTGCGCGACAATTCGTGTGTAAAAAAATTAGACAGGGCCTTTTCGTAGTCCTCGTAGATATACACCAGGTGCTCTGGCGATAATGATTCCAAGTCGGACACGATGCTGCGTCTAAATTCTTCAGAAAACTTCTGCAGCGCGTTAGGAAGTATCAGATCGGCATCAGGGCTTTCGTAGCGTCTCTCTTCAGTGAAAGTGGTAGTCCTGAGGAGAGAGAAAATAGGTGAATTTGTGGAAAGTTGTTCAAAGTACAGCGGAGGAAAACCATCTGCAAACCAACTTGAACAGACTGGAGGACTGGCCAAAGCATTGGCTTATGTCCCTTAATGTTAGTAAATGCCTGGGCCGGCTATTGAAGAGCCTCCAGCCCGAAGGTTTACTTCTTAAACAGTACACCGCTGCAATAAGTTGAC